GAAGGAAGGAAGGAAGGAAGGAAGGAAGGAAGGAAGGAAGGAAGGAAGGAAGGAAGGAAGGAAGGAAGGAAGGAAGGAACAGAAACAGGTTTTTCTTTAAGTAAGAACTATTTAAAATGGGCTAGAAGCCTGGACTGAGATTGGGAAGAGGCGGGACTTTCTCGTTACCGCAGTTTCTGAACATCCCAGGCATTTCAAAGTGTTTGCATTACTAATAATCTTCCCCCGTGGGATTTGCTCCTTCCGCAGAGGACACTAAAGCCTCTGGGCCACTTTTGACTCTCAGACGCTTTATGCAGCTTTATTAACATCTCATAAGACCCTGTGCCCTTTTCATTATCCCAACAAATGCATTTTAGAGTGCTCTGTACGGGGATATAAGGAACATTTCTGCTCGCTGAACTCATGGCCCTGATTCAGAGGTCATTTCGGGGGGGGGGGATCGCGGGGGAACGCAGTTCCCCCGGGGGAGGGGCAGGGGGGGGGGGGACAGGTCGAAGCCCTGCCCCCTGCTTCCGGCCGCCCCGCTTCCGGCTCTCATTCAGCCAGGAGGAGGCAGGAGAGGGGGGAGGTAATGTCGCTCCCTCCCTGCCTCTCCCCACCCCTGCCTGCCTGGGGTGGGGCTTCCTCGCACTTCCGCCGGCCTTGCAGGTCCACCACTGGGCCCCTGATGTCAGGGGGTGTGGCTTCTGCTAATGAGTTATGCTAATGAGTTCCCCTAGCTCTTTTTCTACGAAATGACCCCTGTCCTGATTCCTTTGGTGAACTCCAGGCCACGGAGATCAGTCCCCCTGGAGAAGAATGGCCGCTTTGGAAGGTGGACTTTATGGCATTCTACCCCACTGACGTCCCTCCCCTCCCCAAACCTCCCCCCTTCCAGGCTCCACCCCCCCCCAAATCACCATGCATTTCCCAATCTGGAGCTGGCAACCGTATATGCGATAGACGGTACATGTGGCACTTCTCCTAGGATCCAGCTGCTGGGACTCCGTGCGTGTGCATGCGCATGGTCAGCCATTAACGAGAGGCCAGGCGAGGATCCCTGGATTTAGTCCCCCCCAGGGTTGCCAGTTCCAGGCTGGGAGAATCCTGAAGATTTGGGGGTGGATCCTGGGAAGGCCTGAGTTTGGGGAGGGGAGGGACCTCCACAACATAGAAGGCCACGGAGTCCCCCCTTCAAAGCGGCCATTTTCTCCGGGGGAACTGATCTCTGTCAGCTGGGGATCAGTTGCCATTCTGGGAGATCTCCAGGCCCCACCTGGAGGTTGGTAACCCTACTCCTGATAACCCCTTGCCAGCAAGCAACTTTTTGGTACTGCATGCGTAGATGTTTGGACTGAAGGCCACCGAAGTCATGTTCCTTTCAGTCACCTTGCCAAACCATCTTGCTTGTTAATTATTATTGAGAGATATATAATGCCATCGGTGTTAGGGTTGCCAGCTCCGGGTTGGGAAATACCTGCAGATTTGGGGGGTGGGGCCTGAGGAGGGTGGGGTTTGGGGAGGGGAGGGACTTCGGTGGAGTATAAATGCCTGGCCGACAAGCAGCCTTGTGGAAAACGACGGAGCCAAGCCAGAAAGACGTCTATACCGGGCAGTGACGGCGCGTGCAATTAAAAAATGAATATATGTTGTCTTCCCTATCCCCTACAAACATTGTTAGTCCCCTGTCTATACTGAGTAACTGTGCATCGCTTTGAGCCCACTGGGGAAAGCGATCGATAAATGGAAAGTATTATTATATTATTTCCACCTTCCAGTGGCCATTTCCTCCAGGTGATCTGATCTCTGTCACCTGGAGATCATTCGTAATCCCCGGATATCTCCAGCCGCCCCCTGGAAACTGGCAACCCTACTTTATACAGGCATTTTACAGATTGTAAAGAGACGCCTCCCCCCCCCCAACTCGGCCGGACGTGTCTATAAGGCGCCTTGTGGAAGCAAGCGCTGGTCAGCCCAATTTCTCTTCTCACATTCTTTCCTGTTCTTTAAAGGGGACTTAAAGGTCAAAGGATTTCAGGTACATGCCGGAAAGGTAAAATGTCAAAACACGCGCACACACACACACACCCATCCACACACATGGCTTTTTTGTGGCAGTCCTTCTCACTGGTGGTAGCAGCCGTAGTAGAAAAGACTAGCCCTGTCTCATGAGCTCCTGGTCGTTAAACAGGGTTGGCTACTGTTAGGACTTCGATGGGAGACCACCAAGGATGACGGGTTGCTGCATAGGGGCAATGGCAATCCAATGGCAAACTACACCAGTTTGGTGCAGTGGTTAAGTGTGCGGACTCTAATCTGGGAGAACCGGGTTTGATTCCCCACTCCTCCACTTGCACCTGCTGATGTGACCTTGGGTCAGTCACAAGCTCTGGCACAGCTGTCCTTAAAAAAGAGCAGTTTGTGTCAGAGTTCTCTCAGCCCCACCCACCTCACAGGGTGTCTGTTGTGGGGAGGGGAAGGGAAAAGGAGTTTGTAAGCTGCTTTGAGACTCCAAGTGAAGGGCGGGGTATAAATCCAATCTCTTCTTCTTCTTCTTCTTCTCTGCTCTTCTCTTGAAAAGCCCATGAGCTGGGACTTCATGGAGTCCCCATGAGCTGGCTGCAACTTCAGGGCACACTTTACTTGCTTAATTTCTCACTGGTACTGAGTACTGGCACCAGCAAGTCCTGGGGGGGGGGGAGAAGAAGACGATGAAGAGGAGGAGGAGGAGATTGAATTCATACCCCGCCCTTCACTCAGAGTCTCAGAGCGGCTTAGAACCTCCTTCCCTTCCCCTCCCCACAACAGACACCCTGTGTGGCAGGCAGGGCTGAGAGAGCTCTTTCAGGGACTGCTCTTGAGACGACAGCTCTGAGAGAACTGTGACTGACAAAAGGTCACCCAGATGCTGCACATGGAGGAGTGGGGAATCTAACCTGGTTCTCCAGATTAGAGTCCGCTGCTCTGAACCACTACACCAAATTGTGCAAACTTCTATATGAGTACTGGCACCTTTTCTTGTTGTTTTTACAAATAAAAGCACTGCCAATATGCATGCAAGTTTCTAGAAACCAGAGCTAGTTTCTCAAGATGTAGCCCCTGTCTGTGATGAGGGGGGGAAAGAAAGTATAGTTTACTGGTTGCTGGAGGCATGAGGTAACCAGGTGAGTTTTATGTCTCTTTTTTAAAAAGTGCCCATTAGAAAGAAAACCGAGGAGCAGTTGAATATTGTTAGATTTGGCCACAATCCTACAAGGCTCAGAGTGTGCAAGGAGGAGAAGGTGCACAGCCAGAAGAACCGGCAAACAAGCCTCTTTTGAGTCTGCTCCCATGTGCATTTGGCTGGAAAAGTGGTTAAGACGCCGAACTGCAGACCAGAAGGTCGGTAGTTCAGCAGTTCGAGACCCGAGTGCCGCATAACGGAGTGAGCTCCCGTCTCTGGCACCAGCTCCTGCCAACTTAGCAGTTCGAAAGCAAGAAATTGCAAGTAGATAAATAGGTACCGCTTCGGTGGGTAGGTAACAACGTTCTGCGCGCCTCGGCGTCTAGTCATGCCGACCACATGACCATGGAGAAGCCTTCGGACAGTGCTGGCTCTTCAGAAATGGAGATGAGCACTGCCCCCAAGAGTCGGATTCGACTGGCTTCCGAGCAAGGGAAACCTTTACCTTTACCAGGTGGTTCTCCCTTGCGCACACACCCCCTGCAGGATTGGAGCCACTGACCATGGGGGGCAGGTGGGGTTCTCAGCACCTAAAACCTAAAGCCCCAGTTAGAGGTTCTTCATAACAGAGAAGCGACCTGAATGCTTCGAGGAGACAGACAAATTAGGGCTGCCAGGTCCTCCCGGGCCACCAGCAGTGGATGGAGGGGTGGAGTTGCCAGATCCAGGTTGGGGGTGGAGCCTGGGGAGGACGGGGACCTCAGTGGGGTACACAATGCCACAGAGTCCACCCTCCAAAGCAGCCGTTTCCTGCAGCGGAACTTGTGTGTCTATAGTCTTCGGATGGCCTATAATTCCTGGCAGGGGTCATTTCGTAGAAAAAGAGGTGCAGGAGCTCATTAGCATAACTTATTAGCATAACTTATTTGCATATGCCACACCCCCTGACATCACCGGAAGAAGGCAACACCCACCACTCAGGCTCCACTGGACTGTCTTGGACTGCTAGCTATGGAACGTGCAGATCTGCCCTCGCAGAGGAGGGAGAGCTTGTACCTGAATAAAACTTGGTCTTCAAGGTGCCACTGGACTGTTTTGGACCGGGGGGGGGAGTTCTGCAACTTACCTGGCTGCTTCTTGCCCTGAGGGCTGCTGGGAGCAGGGGGCGGGGCTTGTTGCATGTGCCCGCCCCCTGGGCTCTTTACTGCTGGAGCTCCGCTCCTGTGCGCTCCCGCAGGAAATGACCCCTGATTCCTCGGGATCCCCAGGTCCCACCTGGAGGCTGGCATCCCTAAGACAAATGGACACGGCTGGGCCTGGCAGGAGTGTGGGAAAGGAAGGAGGTACCTGCAGGGAGTTTTCCTTCCACTCCAGGTAGGCGACTGGCACTGTCAGAAGTGATCTGCAGCCAGCCCTGATCATGCCAGAAGTATGCAGTTTGGTGTTTTGGTTAGGAGCGTGGACTCTAGTCTGGGAGGACTGGGTTTGATTCCCCACTCCTCCATATGCAGCTGCTGGTGTGGCCGTGGGTTAGTCACAGGTTCTCTCTGAACTGTTCTGGAAAGAGCAGTCCTCGAGAGAGAGCTCTCTCAGCCCCACCTACCTCACAGGGTGTCTGTTGTGGGGAGGAGGGGAACGGAACGGAGATTGTCAGCCGCTCTGAGACTCCTTTGGGTAGCAAAAGGCGGGGTATGAATCCGATCTCTGCTTCTTCTTCTTCTACAGGCAGCCCTAATGCTCCCTCTAAGCTGTGGAGTCTCGGGAGCAAAAACTCTACTTCGTGAGCAACTGACATTAAAAGTTGTGAGCCAGTGATTTGGCTGCTGCGTAAATTAGCTTGCTTTGGAGCCATCCTTCCTGAGCTAAGACAAAAATGTGTGAGCCGTAGGCGGAAAAACGGTGAGCTAGCTCACACCAACTCAGAGGGCACACTGATGCTACACTCTTTAATGATACCCTCTTTCATGAAACCTCGTCTGGAAAGGTAGCCTTCGTGTAGAAGCCTCTTTGAACCGGATGAAGCCAGCTTCTCCTGAATCAGACCACTGGCGAGATCCACCACTGGCTAGTCTGCGTGTCAGTGGCTGTCCAAGTTCCCTGCAAATGATGGTCTTTCATACCACCTGCCGCCTGAGCTGGAGATGCCAGGGATTGAACCTGGTACCTTCTGCCTGCTGAGCAGATGCTCTGCCACTGAGCCACAGCCCCTCTTACCACGTTTAAATCACCCGTGGTGCAATGGGGCTCAGGTTCCCCATATCTCAAGATATAGTTTCATGCTCACCGAGTTTGTATGTGAAATATCATTGCAAAATTGTCCCCTGAAAATTTTTTTTAGACATCTGGTCCGATAGAATTGATCACGTCTTGGCTGCCTACTAAACGCAGCCCGTTCTGAAAGCCGGAACGGTTAAGCAGACAGAGTGCTGAGTCAAACGCCAGCTTAGACGAGGAATCACTTTCGGGCTGTGAGCCTGTTGCTCTTTCCCCTATGCAAAACCAAGCAAAGGATGACCTGCGTCCAAAGCAAGTCACCCTGTGCAGCTGTTCAGGCTGGTGTCTCACGGCAGGGTAAACATTGCAAATTATGTCAACCACAAATTCCTGGAAATTCTAAATGGCAAATTCTAAAGCTTCCTTTGCTTCACTGAGAGCCACTCCGGTGTGCTCCCAAAAAGGAATTCCTGGTTTTGATCTCAGGAAAAAAGATTTTAAAAGCTGGAACACCTGTGGCTAACGAGTTACCAGGTTAACCGCCTGGTCCTTTTTATGACTCTAGCGAACCATTATCGGTATCAGATGAAATTGCTGCTCACACAGAAGCGCGAACGCACACTCAATGCACTAATCCACAGGCCAGCCTGTACTTTTGAACAATGCCAGGAAAACGATTCCCATGGGAAAGGGTTTCGTATGCCCCCCCCCAAACTGCACTGATCTGGCCATCCGTTATCACCCATTCCACGCCGCCTCACTTGCTGTGGCTCTCCCTGAAACAGACCCTGGCAGAACTGATCATCAACCGAAGGAGCTACTTACTGTTTTCCCCCCAGGAGCACCGGTCCCGCTTCTCTGTCCCTGGTCTCCGATGTGGACTGAAGAGTTGCCTTTTTATGCCTTGCCTTTCTCGGAGATGGTGTCTGGCTGTGACATCAGCAGCACTAGGACAGGGCAGCATCCCCCCCCCCAAACTACTTATGTTAATTTTGATCAACTCAGGAAGGGAGGGCCCCCCCCCCCCCCGCTCCCGGTGACTCAGAATATTTCCTTCCTTTCCACGAATCAGGTGGCTCAGAACTAGGTGGGTCGTTTCCCCCACCCCAATATTCTTCTGCATCTCTTCTTTCGGCTTTCACAAGGTACAGGTTATTCTCACGTGTTCTGAATGGATGACTGCTCGTCGAAGGCCAGTTTAAACTGCAGGCCTCCCTTCCCCTGCCATTGCCCTATGGGGCTGCTAGAGACGAGCGACCTGCCTAGAGAAGAAGGAGCAGGAGGCTCTTGAAGAGGGCATCTTTGGCCGCCTGACATGTCTGTCCCTTGCATGAGACCAAATTGCATGCATCCCCTCGTACGCATGGCTCTCGCTGTCCTGGCCGTGTTGTGCTTCACAGAACACCAGCAAGTGGGGTGTGGTGCACACACGCAGGCACGCGGGAAGATACATTTGCGGGTTCATGAAACACTCAGAGCCAGTTTGGTGTAGTGGTGAGGCGCACGGACTCTAATCTGGGAGAACTGGGTTTGATCCCCCACTCCCCCACATGCAGCCAGCTGGGTGACCTTGGGTCAGTCACAAGTTCTCTCAGAGCTGTTCTCTCAAGAGCGGTTCTCTCAGAGCTCTCTCAGCCCCACCTACCTCACGGGGTGTCTGTGGTAGGGAGGGGAAGGGAAGGTGATCGTAAGCTGCTCTGAGAGCCAGTTTGGTGTAGTGGTTAAGAGCAGCAGACTCTAATCTGGAGAACCGGCTTTGATTCCTCCTTCCTCTACATGTAGGCAGCTGGGCCAGTCATGGTTCTCTCAGAACTCTCTCAGCCTCACCTACCTCACGGGGTGTCTGTTGTGGGGAGAGGAAGGGAAGGTGATCGTAAGCCACTCTGAGAATCTGAGTGAAGGGTGGGGTATACATCCAAATCTTCCTCTTCTCCTCCTCCTCCTCCTCACTGGTCATTCAGGAATCAACCATTCTGCTAGGAGGTCCAGTGGTTAGAGTATCAGGCCAGGATCTGGGAGACTTCGGTTGGAATCCCCACTCTGCTTACAGAAGCTTCCCGGGTGACCTCATGCCAGTCACATGCTCTCAGCTTACCCTCCTCCACAGGATATTCTGAGTATAAAATGGTGGAGAGGGGAATGACGTCAGCTGCTTTGGGTCCCCCCAAGGGAGAGAGGTGTGGTATAAATGAAAAAGGTAGATAAATATGCCTGATAAGAACATAAGAACATAGAAGAAGCCAATGTTGGATCGGGCCAATGGCCCATCCAGTCCAACACTCTGTCACACATTGGCCAAAAATACCAGGGGCCATCAGGAGGTCCACCAGTGGGGCCAGGACACCAGAAGCCCTCCCACTGTTGCCCCCCCCAAAGCACCAAGGATACAGAGCATCACTTGCCCCAGGCTGAGAGTTCCTATCTATACCTTGTGGCTAAAAGCCACTGATGGACCTGTGCTCCATATGTTTAATCCTATTCCATCTTGAAGCCGTCCATGCTTGTAGCCGCCACCACCTCCTGTGGCAGTGAATTCCATGCGTTAATCACTGGCCCCGGTCACGCGGGCTGGAAAATGTGTGGGTGTGTGTGTGGCTGTTTGCCCCGGAGCAAAGTAATGTGCGGCAGCCCGATCACATGTCCTGTGGAGGTCCTGTGGGTATGCCCTTAGGTGCTGATCACACGGCTATCCTGCAGCGCAGCAAAGAAGCGGCGCGGCACAATCACACTGGCAGTCGCTAGGCGCCGCTTCCGTGGCAAACTGGAATTTCCCCCCCTCACCACAGTGTGTGCATGTACCGTTGGGCATTTGTGCACATCCTGTGGAGACTTTAAAAAAAATACAGTTTGCAACGGGACATGGGTGGGCGCCGAATGCCACAGGATTCCAGCGGAAACGCAATCAGACACCCGCCCTTGCCCCGTGTTTTCTGGAAACTAGTACATCCTATGTGGTGTTTTTTTTACTCCACATCTTCGGCAAGAAGCCACAAGTTAGCCACGGGTGCATTACACTTCCCAGATGTTGCGGTGTGATCGCGCCCGGAAAATCCGCCTATCATCCATGTCTTGAACGTGGCAACTTCTCTGTGTGAACGGGGCCACTCTTTGGGTGAAGAAGGACTTCCTTTTATCCGTTCTAACCTGGCCGCTCAGCAATTTCATGGAGTGCCCACGAGTTCTTGTATTGTGAGAAAGGGAGAAAAGTACCTCTTTCTCTACCTGCTCTATCCCATGCATAATCTTGTAAACCTCAATCATGTCACCCCTCAGCCGTCTTCTCCAAGCTAAAGAGCCCCAAGTGCTTTAACCTTTCTTCACAGGGAAAGTGTTCCAACCCTTTTATCATTCTAGTTGCCCTTTTCTGTTAACATAAACACAATGCAAACTCGGATCATAATCTATATCCCATATGTAAGAATGTGCGCACACACATATGTGTGGGGGGGAGGATCAGCACAGAGACCAGTGGGTTTTCTTTTCCTCATTGGTCAGTCGGCGCAGTGAAAAGAATCTGTTTGGCGGGCAGACCTCTGATCCAGTGTGAATGCCGCTCTCTCTCCACCCCTCCCCTCAGAGACATGGATCACGGCCTCGGATGTTTTACAATTATTTCCAAAGTCCCAAAGCTAATCCAAAAGCAGAAACAAGAACAAAATCCTAGTTTATTCTCTACTAAAAGTCAGCAGTAGATGGCAGAATCCAGCGTAAACCCCTCAAGCACCTTGCTAGGGTGGTCAGCTCTGGGTTAGGAAACACCTGGAAATTTGGGAGTGTGTGTGTGGCTCCTGGGGAGGGCGGCTTCCTCACGGTATAATGTTGCAGAGTCCATCCTCCAAAGCGGCCATTTTTTCTCTAGGGGAAACTGATCTCTGTTGTCTGGAAATCAATAGTAATAAGGGGAGGTCTCCAGATGCCATCTGGAAGTTGGCAGCCCTAGCCTAGCCTGACCTTCTGCTCATGTGACACCTCTCTGTACATGCTCAGAGTGCCTTGTGGAATTAATGCTGAACTGGGGGATCTGCTCCAGAATTTCTGTGGAATGGATTTATTCCTAATGCTACCAAAGCTTTGGGTTGTGAAGTCAATAAATTAAACCGATCACTGGACAAACACTTGCCAGTTCAGATCACAGATTATTGTGTAATCTGGAGCTGTGTAGGGGGGGAAAACCCCTTTCTTCATCAGGGGCTGTAAATTTTCATATAGGCTTGTCGAAATGACGACTTTATATATATCACGCTTCTGTAAAAAAGAAAGAACTGGGCGACGATCCTTTTGAAAAATTCAGAACACACAAATAGAAATACGTATACTGTTTACAAAGTTTTATACCCTTATCTGTCTATTTAATCAATTTGATGTCCTAAATGTTATCCTAGTTCAGTGTCAGTTTCTGTATGACACAGCAATCACTTTCCAAGTACATGCGCTCGCAGGAGTGCATGGCAACATAGGGAATTATATGTTGTAGAAAATACTTGACCTTGATTGTTTGTTGGATGTTCTGCCAGTTTTCTTTACAGAAGAAGGGACTGGATCATTGAGACGTGGGAGTTAACCGGAAGCGCTGTCTCGTTTGTGCTTTGGACGCTGTGCAGATTTTGATTAATTCTATTTATAAATTTTCCTTGGACTTTTCCCTTGTGAGGGTTTTGTGTATGCCACTTTGATACTGGATGGCAATAACTATATTTTTGTATTGAATGTCTTATATGGAATATTGGAAATAACAA